GTTCCATGCACGCCCTTGATCTTGGTTCAACAAGGAGACTCCAAAGAAGATGGAAAGATGGTGGTGATGTTGGCGGAAGCACAAAGTGAGGATGGTTTGCTCAAGGTTGTTTCATCCAAGTGTAGGATGAAACCTATTTAGGGTTTTGCTCTCTTAGGGTGGAGATGGGAGGAGGTTAGCCAAAGGCAACCTAGAAACTAAGGGAGAGTTGGTGTTTAGGGTGGTGGTGGTCACGCTCAAAGGGGAGGAAGGTGTTTGGTGGGGTGTTGCTCCTTTTGGCTAGCTCACTTCACTAAGGTAGGTGAAGGCCAACCAAGGAAGGCCAAGCTCAACTCACTCATGGTGGTTTAGGGAGGAGGAGAAGGGAGGGGCCGTGGAGTACCTAGAGACTATGGAAGAGAAGTTGAGGCAAAAAAAATGCACACTCAAATTCAATATATCCAAAGTATGTACAAGGTGATAGGCTAGGGTATAAATAGGAGTGCTGGCATCTAGGGTTTCATTTGGTGTTGCATTGGCCGAAATTATTCAGTAAAGATATTTTTATGATGTTATAAATTATAAAAAAGAAATTAAAATTTTTCACATTTATGCATAAGTTATTAATACTTTTTAAAGATTATTTGTATTCTTAAGTTTCAAAATAAATCTAAGAGGTATTATGAGATGGGGTTGAATAAAAAATTCATAAAATTTCCCTTTACTTTAATTAACAAACAGAATATTAGTGTGTTTTATTCACTGTTATTTTGATTTCTATAAAAATAAAATAATTTGAAACATTTTAACTAATATTTCGTGAGAAGAAAAAGTAAGTTAACTTAAATTATATGCTTGTTAAGTATATATTACTTAGAAGTGAAAAAAGTTGTAAAAGTAAAAAATTATAAATAAAAAAATCACACATAACTTTATTTTATTCGTTTAAAAAATTGAACTTATCAAAACACCCCAATTTATATAATATCGAAATAACTTCCATATGATAATCAATGTTGAAGAGTCACTGTCTACCGGTATTATGTTAATGTTATTGAAAAAACTTCAAAATAACTAAATAAAGTATATACTTTTGCATGCATTTAATCAACTAACAAAGACATAAAGTTTGTAACAAAAAAATAACTAAGTCATAATTAAATGTCAAACTCCTAGTAAATTTGTCTTAATATTTTTTAAGACACACTGAATTTAGTTTTTATACAAATTTTTAAAATAAAAAATAAATAAATGATCATTCTTACGGTAAATATTTTTTTAGTGATACAAAATTGTTTTTAATCATTAATAATATCTTTTAAAAGATATTGAAATGCAATTTAGAAATAAAAAGTGACATATTTAAACAGATAAAAAGTTGGAAAAAAAAATTCTAGTTAACATCATAAAAATTCCTAACGGCACTATCTTTTTATGGAGCACTCAATCTAACACTAAATGAATAATCTAAATTGGACATGAAATCACAACTGAATATATCAATTTATTCATATATAAACTGATTTAGTGAGAATGAATTATACATTTTTATATTAAAAAAAAAAAGAAAAAAATGAATAACCCAGATAGAGTGTAAATTGATCCTCAACCATTGTTCACGTGATAAGATCTTGCTAATGCTAGTCTACCCTCCCTACGCAGTCACGAGAGAATATTTAACTTGGATGACAGGTATAGCCATGCCTAAACTGCGGAAAGCAGCTTCTATTATTTGACTTTGGCACCGCAGAATCAAGTTCCTTTCCGTTTCTTTATTTCTCCGTATTACTATAATTTTAGACAAATGAAATAGAGATGTGTTGCACCTAAAATACAGTAGTTTTTTTTTTTTTTTCGCGAAAAGCACGGTGCTGAAAGAAATGGAGAGATGATCTTTTTCCACAAGAACTATATCGCATGTCCTAATATCTATCACGTCACATTTATGTATAATATATAATTTGCAAATAGCAAGTACTTCAACTTTTCAAAACTGCCGGTAGTTTATTTTCCAAAGTTTACAGAGGCAAACAGATCAAAATTCAGTATCATATCTTCAAATAACTACAAATTTGCGTCATACATGAATATTCCAAGAAATCATACTATTGTCGATTGTCGATCGAACCAGAATCGTAGAATTGAGAAAAACACTGGAGATTGCATTTGAAAAAAAAATGTCTTTGCCCATACATTAGCATGGCCCTCAAAGGCCAACTTGCACGGATATATATACTAAAGCAAAAGAAACACCCCATAGGCCCATACCCCCTACAACTACACGCCATGGGACAGTACTAACTTCTAGGGTATCTAATTACATCGGTTAATTTATACAGTTAAAAGAAAATATACACTATGAAGAGTAATGTTACATATAGGTGAAAAGGAGCCAATATTTTCCTTCACAAACCACAAATCGCTATTGGATGTTGTTTAAATATTAGAGCCTGTCATGATGATTCACACCATGAAAGAATACAAGCATATATACATATGTATACCACTACTGTATGTACATACACATATGCATATGGCTTCATGATTTACCAAACAAAAGAACAGCTAACTAACAAAATTGAGTTATGAGCCTCGAGGAAGCCACATGACATCAAGTGGGTGACTCGGCCAGAAGAAGAGTATGCCACCAGCCACATGCAATGCTTTTAGCTACACAACCTTCGATGGTAACTTCAGAAGGAATATTCCGGTCAATCACGTCCCCGAGGCCCAGCTGCCAAATTCAGAAATTATAACTTAGAACAGTGTGATACCGTACCAAGAATGCCACCAATTCACAAAACAAGTATCACTTAAAATATGCATAGGGTCAAAGAGAAATTTCAACAATGTTATTGTTGATTGTTTAAAACATGAAATTAAACGACATATAAAAATGGTTGTGCAATATAAGCACCTGTCCATACTTGTTCCATCCCCAGCAGAAGACTTTTCCATTATCTTAAAGAGATAAAAACAAAAGGAGAACTAATAAGAATCTATTAATAATGAGTACGCAAATTTCTATATATTTTTAACTACTAATATAATCAAAATACAACATCAATGTGCTCAGCATAACGAGTAACTAGGTTCACAGTATCCAAGAATAATGCCAAAATGAAGATCGTGTGTGACTATTGTGAAAGCAGAAAACAGTAATGCACAGTTTAAATTTGAAGACCTGCTTTGCCATTTTATTCAATTACACTGGTAGAAATATTTTTATCTGGTGAGCTTCGTAAATAACAGAGACTACATTTAACTATCTGCAGTCAATCCTCCCCAAAGATTATTCTGTTGCAATATTTCCTATCATTGTGGACTTCATAAGATTGAAGAATATATCACCTATTAATACCATTTCACAGTGGCATCCGCACTCCATATTTTTTAAAGAGAAAAAATAAAACTACTTGTTCCATTATTTTCTGTCGTTCCAATCAGTTGTCTTGGCAAAAAGGTAATGAAATTAAAGGACAAATAGAAGTCTCAACTTTTGGACAAAGACTCTTGAGAATAAATTGTGAAAGAAAAAGGATAATGTCTAGTGCTCACTGTCAAAATTTGAACAACAGCAACAACAGCACCTTCCAGATTCTATTATAGAAAATAGATGAAGTTGAGAAATCAAGCAGATATTCAAGTCTAGCAGTATTTAGATATGCATCAAAGTGACTTTAGTCTTGGAAAGATAGCTTTGCCCATGTAGAATGAAAATGCCATAAGCAGTTGTGTGTGTTATAGTACTCCTACCAGTTATAATAGCACTGTGACGAGCCCCACAAGATATGCTCTTTACATTTACATTTTCCAAGCTCGGACAATCCAGTAGCCTTGGTATAGTCTGCTTCAAAATTCAAGATAAATATTAATATCACAGAATGACTCAATTCAACAACCTAAGAACATGACATGCATTGACAACAATAATGATATTGACTGTCATAGTGCACTGGTGAATAATATAATCACACCATTATGTTTCATTTTAAGTTTTAATGACAAAGGAGGAAAATCTATAGGATGGCAAGGGCATACCTCAGCTTGATCAGCACCAGTTCCCAGTTGCCCAAACTGGTTTCCCCCAAACGCATATACATCACCATGGGCAGATGTACACACAGTATGCCACAGTCCTGCAGCGACTCCCGCTATTCGAATACCCAACAAGGAAGATACACAAGTCGGGCTTAGTTCATCATCTGTACTTCCTTGCCCACACTTTTCCAAAAACAAGATGAAATTAATTTAGTATAACAAGCATTAGCATGCATCAACCAAGAAAGATAATTATTGTAAAGCAACGGAACAAATTATTCATTGTTAGAGTGAACCTCATCTTCAACATCTACATTGCTTTTGCCCACCATATTCTACTTTACCTACATGTTGATCCTAAAGAATAGTTAACAGTTGATGATATAGAAGGTTAATATATTTCAACCGACCAAACCCTAAAGTATAATTTAGTTAATTCATATGCAATAAAGCCTCATGCGATCTTAAGTTGATCGCTCACAATTTTACTAAGTCACAGTACCAAGGAAGTATTAGCTAGCAAAATAAACATGTGGATATGGGTGATATGCAAACTTAAGCAATTAAGTTTAAACCTAAAAGGACTATCAAAAGGAAGGTCTAACTGCAGCGAATGATACATCTTATATCAAGAAAACACATGTAGCCCGTCAAACAAATTTCCATTTTATTTCTGTATCTATTTTAGGACCCAGCAAGTGAACTTAATGGTCTGCCTCGAGAATGATTTGGAGCAGAATATGCTTTCTAATATGGGGGCCCAAGCAATCTGATTAGAAAACATTAGAGGAATTTATTTACAATTAACACTGAAATTTGCTGGGAAGGAAAAATTCTACATGTGTAGTGTTGTTAACAATATATGAAGTTAGGTAGGCACAAATGAAAAGTGATTAAGCAGGTGACAACTGGACAAATTTACATTGCCAAAGAGGATCTGCGATTTGAGTAGAGAAAAAGATTGAAAGATATCCCAAGTTCACCTTAAATTACCTGTCCATAAAGTCCCCAACCAAATGTAAGCACAACTCCAACATCTGTCAGTTCAATAGAAATATATTAGATACGAGTATATAAGTGTAAATTTCACCATAATTAGATAAGAAGAATGGTAGGAAATAATAAGCAATTGTGGAAGTTGTGTCCAATTTTCTATACTGTAAATTTTTAACTCCTCAACTCTAAATCTAGAAAGACACATTCATTGATATTTCACATATTTATTAGGATATAGTTTCCCCCATTCATCAAATCATACAATTCCTGATCTGATTGTACCATATAATGCAGAACCATTTTTCTCTATCTACACACCAATCATGATACCGGTTAGGAAAATTGCATTACAAATGAATGTGGATATTATCACTTTGGTTCCCCAAAGAAACTAATGCAGAGACTGTCTAGAAAGATATTCACTTGAGATACAAAATAGACTGATACACATTACCTGTGATTACTGCACTGTGTCGACCTCCGCAAGCAATGCCCTTTATATAATTTCCAGGAACTCTGAAATTTTGCCCATCTGAACCCATGCTTCCTCGAGCCAACGAGGCCGATATGTCTTTACCATAAGAAGAGGAATTAATACAAGGAACTAGATGAGGAGAGGACACCATTCGTATTCTACTACCCAAACCAAGCTGGCCTTCACCTCCATAGCCCCAACCCCACACCTGTCCTATATCTGAAACTTCCAGAAAATTACAATCAATGATATTTCATAGATTTCATAGCTGATCTTTCATAGAACAAAGATGATGCTTCAACCAAAAGATTATCACATTATATATGAAAATAACAAAAATAAAATTTTAGCCTAGGTTAACAAATAGTCCTAAATAAAGTCAATACCTGACAATGCTAAGGTATGGCGACCACCTGCAGCAACACTTGTTATTCTTACACCTGGATTTAGTGTGACAAGACATGGCAATGCTGTCAGGGTATCATCACTAGATGATGAGGTTTCAGCTGTTTGCTTTGTTGATGATACTCTTCTTCTCTTTGTATTTTCTTCTCCACTGGTACTAGGGGCAGTTCCTCCAACAGATTTTGAGCCTTGAGAACGAGGGCTCGCTGTTGCAAAACCACTCTACATCAGTTAGAGAGATAAAGGCCAAGTATTATTTTTTGTTCATCATAAAGGGGCAAAACTCTTTTCTTTTGGATTTTGGATTTTCAAACACTATCCTATATCATAACAGTACCTCTCATCTCACACTCCTTTTAGTACACTTTGGCTACCTTTGGTCACTTCCTAGGAGGGAGAGGTAGCTGTAGAAAAATGGCTATTGTATAGAGGTCAAACTCAAACTTACCTTGCTCCGTCAGAAATGTACTTTGCCTTCCTGGTACATCCTTTTCGGGGCTTTCCCCAGTTAATGATTCACCAAACAACTTCCCAGAGGGAATACATTCTCTCCATCCCCATGTGTAAACTTGTCCACAATCTGCATAGAAACAACAAAAAAGGTATGTGGGATGACAAAAGTAAGAAAACATTCTTGATGGACATACAATCTCTTGAATCCATTTTGAAAAAATTATTTGTGAGAATTTGCTAGTATTGGATAATTTATCCAGCAGGACAATACTACCCTAAAATTTTAGTTTAACCCTTCTCCCTTCAATCACATCATATAGTATTCCATTCCTTCCTTGGCAAGGGAGAAGGTAAATGAATCTTACCCGTCACAGAAACACAATGTGCCCATCCAGCTGCAGCTTTTACAATAGTCACTTCAGTTGGAAGAGGGAAAGGCTCTGGATTTTCCTTTACAAATAAACCAAAAAATGTTAGTTGATCGAAAAAGAGACAAGAGAGAGAAAGAGAAACAGTATCACTCTATATCGTGCATTACCCCGTGTTTGCCAGATGTGACATAGCTTTGGCCTAAATCATCCGTTGACCCCCATGTTATGAGCTTTCCAGGCTCTGATCAAGGAAGAAAGTATGAGTAATCATGAATTTTTTGCGTTAATTCAATGTAAAAAGAAAAGGCTAGATGAGAAGGTGTCTAAAGACATACAAGGACAGAAAGATGCACTGGGATAATTTCCTTCAAAAGAAAATAAATCAAAAAAGAACAAGCTTGACCTTAAGTAGTAAATACTAATACAATATCATTTAAATAAATAAATAAATAAACTACACTCATATTAAGACACTAAATATAAATACCAGCATATTACTAGAACAAACAACAACCTCCAACAAAGTGAATGGGTAAAATATTGAAGAAAATAAGTAAAACAAGTCTAAAACAGTAGTAATGAAAGGCCGACAAAAAACTACTAAGTACCTCTTCTTAGATTCGAGCAACTTGACAAAATACCGTTAATGGTGTTTTTCATCTTGTAAAATTGTCATTTTTTTTAATTCTTATCCTTGACTAAAACCCCATTTTACGTCCCTGCAAATGGTAAATACTCAAACTTCCATCTCTAGTCTTACTCTTTAGCTGATGAAAGTTTGGCATAGTTTGTAGACTGAGGGATAAAAGTTTGTATATTTACAAAAAATGCAGCGACAAAACGAGGGAGGTTTTAAAAGTCAGGACAAAATCAAAACATTGTCAATTTTACAAGCACACAAGATATCATTAACCCAAACAAAATACCAGGAACATAGAAAAAAATAAAAATAAAAGCTCCAAACGGAATAATTTAATCAAACAAAAAACTAGGTGCTTATCTGGCAAAACACAGAATCAATTCTTTAGCACAAGTTCCAAACTGAAATCCACGTGCATGTTACTATGCTTCAATTTCACCAAACTTCAAACAAAACAATACTCACACAAAGGACTTAGCCGAGAACAACATAAGTATGTAGCTCAGGCTACTGAACAACCGAGTCCAGTGAGCCCAGATTCTGACTCCATTAAAGTAGAAACGAGATAGCAAATGCAAAATTCGAAGAAAACAACACAAAGACAAATATAATGGAGAAGGAGTTTCTTCTATTTCTAGAACAAACATAAAAGGAACGTAACGACAATATTTTCCTCCACAATCTGAAATTCAAAAAGAAAATTGGAAATTAGAACTGAAAAAAAAAAAGTTAGGTAGAGTACCAGAGATAGCCATGGCGAATCCGCAGCCACCGCCGCAAACCTCCGTCCAAGAGTAGCTTGACGGCGGAACCCTAACGAGCACCGGCGTCAATAGCGGCGTCCTCTGTGGTAGAGCTCCGGGAAGATAACCCCACATGTACACCAACTTCTCCTTCTCCACTTGCATTGCTTCATTCTCCTCGCCATTCATGGCGATTCCCACCCAAAATCCACACCCCAATGGGATAACAAAAAAAAACAAAAAAATCTCGAAACCCTTCCCTTATTTTCCACGCTTCCGTTTCGCGAAGAGAATCTTATTTTATTTTATTTTTGGCAGCGAAAAGCACCCCAAATCTTTTTCACTGCTGGTGCATAAAAGGGGCGTATCATTTTCGGCGGAACGCGGGTGCCACGTTGGACGCTCACGTGCCACGTGGCGCCTTTTTGGCCGCTACCCCTTCCTTCGTTTGTAGCCACCATTTTGGCAGAACTTTCTGGAATCTCTCACCCTCTCCCCTAACTCCGTGCATCGTGGTCGCTTCCTCCTCTCGCCACGTGTTGGTTCCTCCATAAGTTCCAATCATTGCAAATTGCCACGTTTCGACCTCTCTATGGGACACGTCAGCAGTGTGATGTGATGGCGTCATGGCGATGCTGTAATTTTCTTTTCGTCATTCCGGATTTAACCCCATGGATTCCTCCTTTCTATTTTTTCTCAAAACTTAGCTGTGTCATCACGTGTTCTGCTATATCACTCTATCATCTCTTCTGCATATTCTTTTATGGAAATGAATCATGCGGGAGAATAAGTAATACTTTAAGAGTTAATTATCTCTTTAAAATTTTCTACATTGATAATTTATAATTTTTAAATTATTTTATTTTATTTTTATTTTATTAAATAAATAACTGACATAATATTATTAAAAAATATGATTTATTGTCGTATAAAAAATTTTATACTAATAGTGTATAGGTGATTAACTCATAGTTTAAATATATTTTTTAATATTTTAAATTTAAAAATAGATATTTTTAATTTATGTAATTTTAAGTTAAATTACATTTATCATTTTATTAATTAGTTCAATTCTTTATTACTAAGAAGTTTAATATGATTCCTTCATTTTTTCTTTAATAACGATACAATGTAAACGGCAATTACCATATTACAATATTTGGAAAAAAAATTAAGCAATTAAATTAAAACTTTAAATAATAGAATAAACAAATTACATAAATAATTTAGTCTATTCTCAAAATAGTTTAATATGATGCCATTAGGGTTGGTTTAATGATGAAGAAGTTGAAGTGAAATGTCTAAAATTTTAAATTTAAATACTAATGTTATCATTATAATTCTAAAAGATAAAAAAGTCACCTATATATAACATTCATAAACATATTAAATCAATTGTGTAACATTAACTGAATTTAATCTTTAATACGAAATAGATATTAATAAACAAGTTTTATGCAACAAATTTAATAATTTGTTAATATTTTTAGACAAATTTATTAATTATGTTTGAGTAAAATGATATAAATAAATTTTCTTTAAATTACATGAACTAAAAAAGTTAATTTTAAATTTAAAAATAAAAATTACAATTATCTTATACATAGCTGACAAAAAGAATATATTTAAACCTTAATTTAAAAAATATGGTCTTAATTTTTATATAAACCTTATTCTAATTATTTATGCAAAATTAAATAATCAAAATCAACTCCCTTGTACCATTTTGCAAGGTATACTTGAACGGTGAGTGTTGTTATGTGTGTGCGTATAAGTGGAATATGAGATGCATTCACGAATCGATGTTGCCTGACCAAAGTATCGTGACTTGTTTTTTTGTTTTTATTTTTTTTAGTGAAGTTGACAGTTATTAAAGGAGAGAACAAGTGTGGTATTTTGATTGGTGTGTAGCTTTTAGGCAGATGAATACCACTTGTCCGATAAATTTGGTTTTGAAATTTGGGACTTTAGCATATCCAACTTTTGTTCAACCACTTGTTTATACTTTCTTGCTTTTCTAGGTTGTACCACGAATTATGCAGAATATGCTTTTGAAAAGTAAAAATGTTGAGGATTACATTTTAAAGACTGACCGACACAAGCGGTAGAATTTTTTATCTCTTACATAAATTATTTAGAATTTAAATTGATTTTGAGTATAAAATAAAATATTCAGAACAAAATTATTTATCTTATATGCATTATGATCTTTGAGGAGAATTAATTATCACTTTTATTCTTAAATACTTTGTACATATGTTATTCTATGGTTCCTTAAAACACATTGCACCACATAAATTATAATAAAAACAATCAATTAAGTGTTTAACATGGACTTAATTCTATCGATTACTTTCTAATCATAATATATTAATAAAATATAGTTAAAATATTTTTTTTTATAATTTTACTTTATCTTTTAATCTTTGTAGTTTGAAATAGATATTTTAATTTATGAAATAGATCTATATTAAATTATAAAGACTAAGAAAGACTGAAAAATAAATATAGGAACTAAAAATATCTGTCTTAAACCATAAGAACTAAAAGGTAAAATAAGTAAAAGTATTGAAACTAAAAAAAAGTATTTTAGCCATAAAATATATTGAAACTAAAAAAAGTATTTTAGCCATAAAATACTTACTTTAATATGTTCTAAATACTTTTAAATATGAATATGGGGTAAATCTTATTATTATAAAAAAAAAACATGATATAACTAATCATAATTCTTAAATTAAAATTTTAAAAAAAATTGTGATTAAAACTATTTTATAAATTTCTATCATCAAATTATTAATGTTTTTGTCATTATAACTACTCTACTATCATCGATGTCACAACAAGTTCACAATTCTCATTATCATATGGTGATAGTGTTTGAGACAACAATGACAAGTGATAACTACTGTCATCTTTATTATTGTTGTCATAATCACCATGTTAAACCACTCTGATTGTTAGTGGGTAGGTAATAATAGTGATGATGATGGTGTTAGTGATTGTTATCTTTTGTTGAGACACGTTTTTGTAATTTCACATATAACAATTATTATTGATATATTTTATTGAGAAGACCTCTATTATGTCAACATAAAATTGATAATGTTATAAAAAAAAATTAATAATAAAGATTGAAAAATATATATCTTAAATTATACACTAAAAAAGTTTTAAAAAGTTAAATATATGGACTAAAAAGAGTTTATTTTAGACTATATAAATTAAAGGATGAAGTAAATAAAATTATAATAAATATTTTAACCTAATATAATTATAACCGGTGATAGTTGATTTAACAATTAAGATTATAATAAAATAAATTTATAATAATTTAATTCAGTCATTAACTTTTACAAAAGCTGTATTAAAGAACACACAAAATAATATTTTTTATTCATTAAATTTTGTAAAAAAAATTTATATTAAGAATGTATAATCATGAAACTCATATAAGATTTACCATAATAAATGATGGATTTGTTAAAACTTTAACTATTTTTTTTTAATTAAACAGTTATAATTTTATACTTTGTCTTTTATTGTGAAATTTTTATATTAACAAGAATTATAATAATAATAATAATAACAATAATAATAAAGTTTGAATTTTTTTTTTTTAAGAAAATAAAGTTTGAATTTAACAACCTGTTGAATTTTTACCACCGCTGACTGCAATTCCTCAAAGTTGATCTCAAACTATAAAAACACATATTTTTCTTTTAAGTGTGAACTAGTACTTTATTTTTTTGCTAGGTTCTCATATGGTGGGTGATTAAAACCTCCGACAATGACAGAAATCGTTACGTTAATCATTTGTAGTTGTACGGGGAGTGATGACAACGAATCTTGTGTTTGCTATTTTGGTTAGGCCTGAGCATCGGTCGGCCACAGTCGGTTTCGGACAAAAATTCTTAAAATCATCCAAAACCGATTAAGAAAAATCAGGAGCCATTTCCGACCGACGAAGAACTCGGGTTTTAGCGGGTTCAATCCGTGCGGGTTACGGTTTCATCGGATGGATTCATCGGTTTGAGAAGCTTCTTCTAGCGTCTCGTGCCGCCATCCTTCGTCACTCTTTGCCGGTCTCTGTTACTGCTTCATTTGGGAGAAATCACGGAGTTTCAGATCTCCACATCACCACCTTCATCAACCAGAACAGGGAGCTTCTCAGTGGCGGTAGCCATGGCAGGAATAAGTTGAAGAAAAGAGGATGTTTACGGAGTGAAGAAGAAGAAGAAAGAAGACACTATGAAGAAGAAGAAAGAAGCAGAAGAAAGAAGACGGAGTGAAGAAGAAGAGAAAAGAAGACGGAGTGAAGAAGAAGAAGAAAGAAGACGAAGTAAAAGAGACGGAGAAAATAAACGGTGAAGACGAACGGTCGGATTCGGGTGCATCGGATGAGAAAATTCTAACACCGAATCCGACCGTTAAAACCCGTTTGAACCCAAAATTTGCTTCAGAAAAAATCCGAAATACCTGAGAATTAATCCGCTTCACCCGATCTGATCGTCGGTTTGGCCGGTTTCGGATCGGCCGGAAGTTTTTGCCCAGGCCTAATTTTGGTTAATAACTCAAACTCAATTTTTGTACTACCTAATCATGGTTTAACCTAAACGAAAATGTTGACATTGAAAAAGTCTTTACCAAAACCTTCGAAACATCGAGAATTAGAGCCCCAAAACATGAAACTTTTCTTTTTGGTGTTTTTAACACTCACAGTGGAAGCCTGAAAGTGGAAATCAATGTCATCCCCACCACTCACCAGTAGTTATGCACATTAAAGTTGTTTCATGGTCGTGGTGGAGCACAAAAAACAAAAAATAGAGGAGAAAACAAGACACGTGCAGCTGAAAATTTCAAGAAAAAATGCTGAGAAGAAAAATAAAATTCACGCATGTCTGTTGATTTTATTATGAAAATATTCTCCGTAAAATAAAAGTGATACATTTTTTTTTCGTTAATCTTAAAAAAAATATTATATACAGAATGAGGAATTTAAGTGAAAATATTTATTTAAACATAAGAATAACTAATAACGTTGTTATATTGAAATTAAAAATAATAATATATTATTATTGTAATGACTCGACAGGTCCTACACATATCACTGTACACCGGAAATACCAGGCAGAAAGAACAAGTATATAAATATAGGATCTAGAATATAAATATATACAAAGTCCAAATCCGACTCGAGTTAGAGTGTGCCAAACACAACCAAACCAACACAAAATACAACATTAACCGCTACACCAAGTAGCTGAAACAACATAACAGCAACTAAGGTCATCTCCGCTTGCCCGCTGCAGACCACAAGCCACACACCTATC